TCATTCGCTCGTTTTTTTTTTTTGTTTTTTAATTCTCAAGCTTGTTTTCTAGAATATGCTTTCGATTACTTTTTTACGCAACAGGTATTGTTAAAGTTCTGGAGTAAGATATTAAAAATTGTTTTGTTTTCCATTTATTTGCATTGTGGTGCATACAAAAATTTGCGTCCGTAATTTCGTAGTTCTTTTATAAAACGAAGTCGTTGCTACGTACTTGGTGAAATTGAGTTGTTGGTAAGTAGTTGAGAGTTTAGTAGCGATTTTGCTTGATTTTTAGGCTGGTCTCTGAGAGTGAGTGAAGCGAAAATGCTTTCATGGAAGTCGTAGCCAGTAGTTCTTTAAAGTCCTGTATCATTTACAAAAGGACTATTGTTTGGGTACTTTAGGATGATGGGTATTTGCGATGTTAAGTTGCTTATTTACTGTCGTATGCTGCCAATATATAGGTATGGCAGTTTATGGTCATTTAATCTGAATTAATTGCAGTTTCATGAAAGCATCTTATCGCAAATCTAGTTCTGTGATCCATTTTTTCGAATTTGACTTTGATCATCATATTTCAAGCAAACTTTCATTTGTTTGTACGTTCTAAGGGTGTGTCAGACTGGTATCGCGCAACAAGGTTTGCAGTTCATGGAATCTTGACACGAACTGATTGACATCGCATATATGATAAATGGAAGGGCTTATTTGTTGTATTAATATTATCTGTTATGGTACTAATATAAGCGAAGTCGTTCATGATTGGTCGGTCCTCAATAGCAAGAATTTGCATTGTTGTGCGAGTGTTCTCTGTACTGATGTCTTACCTTTTTACGTGATACTTCCGATGTTCTCTACTCCCTTTTGTCTTCTCTCATTTCATTTCTTGTCTTGAAAGGCATGAAAATGAAATTTATTGGGAGTGACTCAGTGTAACGCTTGATTTGTCAACATTTATTTGTCCTCATCTTTTTTCAATTATTGATTGGGACTTGGCGTTGATCTCACGTTTTTTATTATACTATCAATACACTTGAACAACTCCAAATTTCATTTGCAGTTTTAATTATTTCACATTTTTTTACATCATCAATTTTCAGTCAACCGAATCTCATTACAGTGACATAAAATTTACAAGAGATAAATCATCAAAATAATTATATAGATATCATTTTAAGTTTATTGCAAAGTTCCGGTAATAGTGATGAAAAATACGAAAGGAATTACTGTAAATACAAAAGTCACTTCTAAAACCTGAAGCATAATTATAAGTAAGGAATCAGATTGATCTTTTGAAAGCTTTATGGTTTAGTAAGTATAGTCATTAAGATTTTTTTTCTAGATTACAAATAATATTTTTGATCTTTTATACACAATCTTATCAAAATAATTGAGAATGCTAAGCTGAATGAAGCTGTGTTGATTTTGAGAAAAATTAAAACATTTTGCTGATGATTATGATTTTAATATAAACAGAAGTATAAAGTGACTATTATCTGAGTTAATTAGGAAGGAGTTAATCCAGAACAAATGGAAACAGAGCAGGTGAAAAAAACTCGAAACGATATGTAACTGAAAAGTCTGCTCGAAGTGCAAAATTGCATGAAATAGGAAAGCGAATGTGCACATGGTAAGGTATGCAATGTACTACCCGAAGGTTTTTGCTTCCCCGTCACGTTCGCCTTTATTGCCAATGTATCAATGGAGTTTCCAGTTCGAAAAAATGCTTAATTTACCAAAAATATTGTGGTTTTTTATATTTCAGATTTGTGAAGTAAATCTTTATGCAAATCTTTATTCACTGACAACTAGTCTTCGATGTTAAAATTTTAGCATGCTTTGGAGCAATTGCTTGGATTTCAGCGATTACCTCGACTTCATCATAAATTTCTTAACTGATCCAAAATGTAATTTTTTGGTGACAAATTGTTTCAAGAACCAAGAATCAGTTTGGTCCCAACTTTTTTAAAATCAGATTCTAATGATATCCGCGTAATTGAATGAATTTAACTGTTGTTATGATAATAATTTCCCGCCTAATTGTACTTACTGAATAAGTTTTACACTTCTAGCTATGAATGTGATCTTTAATTTGAAATTATCATTTATTTAGAATCTATATGATTGCTTCAGCACTGAGTACAACAATAACCATTGTTGTTATTATAATTGGGCATAAATGTTACTATGAAATATCTTAGTAAGTACCGTTTTAATAAAAGATTGCTAAAAATAAATTGTTTCACGTTGCAGTCAAGTATGTCTCGCATTTTATAATGCGTTAATGCTTACAAAATTAAATTTTATGCACAGTGAAATACGTAGCAATTGATAGAGTTACGAGTAGGTCATCTGTAAAGATCATTCTGTAGAAAAGGAATATTGTTGTGACATCGATTGAATGGCAAGCACTTTTTCTCTCTACTTGTTCTGTTCTGCGGCTGTGTAAAGATATAATCTATTTATTGCGGGTCCTTTTACCAAACTATTAATTTCAAACTTCCAAAAATTCTTACTAATTTAAAATTTTTCGAATTTATGACCTGATACATGCAATGAAATCACTAGTCATATAATTGTATACTTACATTAAGGACATAAATGTGAAGCTTGGAGATAGAGATCATGAGTGGAAAAAAAATGATGAGGGCATTTATTGACAAGTAGCCCCTCATAATGATTATTATTAGGGTCAAAAAATATGAAAAACAGAGCAAATAAATAAGTTAATCATAAAACTGTCAAGTTAAATAAGTCTGAGATGGTGTGTACATTACTGCAAAATTATAAGGTATTTGTATACTGAAATGACCTCAGTTTCCCACTCTTCAATTCTGATTATCAAAAAACATTTTTTTCGTAAAAAATCGTTTAAAAAAGCTGATAACATTTCTACACACACCAGTCGCTATTCGATTACAACTGAGTTCCATTTATTTTTGATATCCATTGATTGCCACTTGATTCATTTGTTGGTGAATTTGTCATTAATTGTCTGAATTTATATTTGACTGTTTCAAATTTTCTGTCACCATTATTTAAATTTTGGATGTTTCTATTTTTTTATTTCATTTATTACTGAATTAGTGTGACGACTTTCGAGCAAGAGTAATTTTTACTACATTGCTACGATTGATTTATGTCGTTCGGTTATTATTAGTACTTCAAATTTTATTTACTGTTATTTGACGCAATGTTAATTGAAGATTGTTTGATATCATTGAAAACTTGATGAACTCCGCTACGATCGATATCATTGTTCATGGAAGTATTGTTCAAGACTTCGTGAGGTAAATTAGTTAGCATGGTCTAAAATTGCCTTTATTTTTATATAATGAAACCTAAAAAAGATCCAAGCATTTGATTATAGGCCAAATCAATAATCACCTCATTTGGTGATCGCCAAATGCCATGTAGACTCGCAGTTTTAAAATAAAATAATCGCAATCTATGATGATCTAGTGCATTGATTCAAAATTACTGTTAGTAAAAGTTCGAATTGATAATCTAGAAGAAAAATAGCTCAGGAATTCTGATTATTTCTGTTTAAATTTCGATTGCATCCAAATAACACAGTCCAATAGATAGCACCCTGACTGATCAGAAAATTCGCTTTTTGTTGTATAAATAATACTCAACCGCTTTTTGTTTTATAAGTACTCATCCGAGGATTGCTAATCCTGAAACCACATTGTTCATGGTAAAATAATATAAATGACACTTTAAGTTACACAGAGGAATTCCCACGACTGGGTGAAACTGTCCGAGGCACATTCTCAGACGCACCTGGAGGAAAAGGTGCAAACCAGGCGGCTCAAGCTGCTCTTCTAGGTGCTAATGTATGCATGATCGGCATGGTGAGTTATCCGCTACTTTTGCCTACTAAATTACTTGAAATTAATTATTCAGAGAAATGCAGTAATGGATAGATTTCGTACTAACGAAAGCCACTCTGATTTTTCCGTGAAATATAAATCTGCTAGCCAAACAGACCAGAATTAAATCCGGTAGGATATTAGATGTTTCACAAAAATTTAAGGAGAAAAACTGCATGCAGATAAAATTTGCCAGCCTAATTTTGTTTCAGTCACAGTTATTTCTTTATAATTCACCATGTACATTTAACTTTGTTTTCCACGTGATCTTATCTCACTTACTAAGTGCTCATTCAGCACTACTATAGTAAGCCAACATCTATTGAATTTATAAATATTGCTAAACATTTACGCACATACTTTAATATATATATATATATATATGACTTATTCATTTAATAATTCCGTTTCATACTTATTTTTCATCAGTTTAAGTAATCAGGTATGCCAACACAACTGTTTCAGTTCTTTAATAAAATAATATGATAAAAATTATATTATCAGAACTTTTACGCTCCCACCTTTATTTGCACAATCAAATTCTACAAAAGTCCCAATAACTAAACTGTATAAGAAATTGAGTGAATCAGAAAATACAGGTAAGAAAAAACCGCAGTTATTAAGACGTATTATTGAAAAGCATTTGAGATAGAGAAATGGAAAAACTCGCAAATCACTAGTTCGCGTCATGAGCCTTTCTCTGAATCAGTAGATCCTGAATCAATACATATACTACATGCTTTCTTCAGGTGGGCAATGATGTTTTCGGGTCATCTAATATTAACAACCTTAAAGAGTTCGGTGTAAACACTGAATACATTCGTGTGAGTGAGCGAAACAAAACGGGATGTGCAACAATTATTGTGACTAAAGACGGTAAACGTTCAAGCAGTTCGCATTGTGTAGAAGCAATTTCTTAGTAATGCACACACCTTAGAACTAAACTGGCTAGATCCTCTATTTTTTTTCTCTATAAAGTGTATGAGGATTTAATTTAAGGTCAAAATTCAATAATAATTGCACCAGGTGCGAATCTTGAGACACCACCAAATCAAATTGATGAGTTAGAAGAAACCATAGCATCAACAAAGATGGTACTTTGCCAGAATGAAACTGCTCATGATTCAATAAAAAGAATCTTCGAGTTAGCCAAGAAATACAATGGTTATACTTTTTAATGAAAATGTAGTAGGTAACACCTACACAAAGAATCGTAGGTCCATGACGAAAGTTTCACAATCCTATAGTTCGAGTCTAGGATGAGATGAATTTAATCAAGAACAAGTTTTAGTACGGACATTCTTTAATTATGCTCCGATCGACAAGAAGTTCGACAAAAACATTTTAAAACTAACGGACATACTGTGTGTCAATGAAATAGAGGTATAGTGCACTTCCTATTATGTCACATATAATGAACTATGCTGATTCTCGAGGGAAGTTGTTAGCATTTGCAAATCATTCATGCAAGCATTACCGGGAATTTACAGAGATGATGATAAAATTTCTACATTGAAGGGAGAGCATCTATCAGGTCAACAAGTTAGAACAATCAAGGATGCCTTGAAAATTACTAAAATATTGTTTGATTTTGGTCCATCGATTGTTATCATGACGCTTGGCTCACAAGGTGTTGTGTATAATTTCGAAGACATTGAATCAGGTCACATAGTCGTACCGTCCGTGAAAGTTGTTGATACTACAGTAAGCGAAAATTCATTTTGACGAATTCACCAACCTTCATATTTGACTCTAAAATATTTTCAGGGTGCCGGAGATAGCTTTTGCGGCGCATTGGCATACTTCCTAGTAAAACGACCCGAACTTGAACTAAAGGAACAAATCCGACGCGCTGCGCATATTTCAGCTTATTCAGTACAGCGAGTGGGTACCCGAGATTCGTATTTACGACGCAGCGAAGTACCTGATGACTTGCTCAAATAGTTTCTTATCATTGGCATGTCTAGAACTTCAGATACTTCTGTTCAAATCTACCATATGACAAAAACAAATATATATGACAACTTCCTGTAATCTTAATAACGTAACAAAATAAATAAAAATTACTCTACTCTGCATTACAAATGCAATGTTGGGTCTGTACTATTCAAAATAATCATTATAATAACTGATATTCTAACAAATGCTACTACCGAAGCAGTGATTCATAACTAATAAAGGTAATATAAGACATAGAACAGTACTCACCAATAACTTTCTCAAATCTATATTTTTAACAAATGCTTGTCCTGAAATTATGATGAACAATTCGGTATCACTCACATGTGATATCCCCGACTAAAGGATTCCGAAGCACTAATAACAGTTAGAACTGACTGCTAGATTTGTGAATGAAACTGACTTGAAACAAGAGAATGCAAAT